GTGGGCAGAGCCAGGCAGTCATGCCAAATTCAAAAATTAACACCAGTCTGCTGGGAGATGAACCCTATGATTCAGGGACGTAACAGGGGGGGAGGCTTAGACAGTAGGGGATATGGGGGTTGCAATGCGATCATGTTTCATGGTACACATAAAACATAGTCCAAAAAGTACCAAAGTTAGACTTAGCCTTTAAAAAAAATTGTGGCCAACTAGTAAAATCAGTCAAGTTCTGAAAGTTGCTGTGCAGGGAATTAGAGGAAGCTGATATCAAGACAGATTCGGTTACTCAAACTGGTAGAGATCTTACATCTGGCGAGTCTGCGGATGACCACATATGTGGCGTGTGCAACTTGGGGTGATTCTCCTGTGGAGAATATTTTTCTATTCTCTTGTGGAAAATATTTCAGTCACCACACAGGTGGCAGTTGCTCTTGATGTTCTGGGGTGGCCCAAACTCTGCTGTTCTCATGGAACTTCAGAGTGGTCACAATGGTTCTTATAGAACTTCACAGTGGTCACAATGGTGAGAAAAGGGATGCCATAAAAAAACCCACAACAGTCATGGAGCTTAGGTGTCAGAATGGTAGCTAATGATCAGTCCAAAGAGAACATGGGTCTGTTAATAAAAGTGGAATTTATTGAAAACTAAAATAACACATTGTGACCAGTTGTCACTTCTTCAGTCTGTGTCTACACCAGTGGTCTGAAGGGACAACTAGACCTGAAATGCGGTATTTTGGTGTTTAATAAACTCAGCTCTTATTAAGAAAGCCGAGTCCTCTTTGGACTGATCATTATGAACTACCACCCTGACACCTAAGCTCAATGACTGTTTGTTTTTTTATGGCATCCCTTTTCTCACCATTGTGACCACTCTGAAGTTCCATGAGAAGAGCAGAGTTTACCTACCATCCTGGCACCTCCAGAGTGTTTTTTGTATCCTTTTTCTCACCAATTTGACTAGTCCAAAGTTCCATGAGAACAACCGAGTGCCATCCTGGCACCGCCGCTCCAAGTTTTTTTTCTAAATCCCTTTCTGTAAAATATGAACCGTCAGTATTGATAGGAAGGAGCCAGGCCTTTAAACTTCCTATACTGCCTTAGAATAATGAAAATCAGAATCTGGTTTGTAAGACAGCACAGAGTTATTGCCCCTTTGCTAAAGTCTTGTTTTCCAAATTGAACCAAAGTGAACTTAAACCATAATTTATGACCCAAGAAATATCAAATCCTGCTAGATCCATCTTTCTTGGTGGAGGTCCTTTTCATATTAAATAGCATTACATACCTGCCATTCTAAACAGCTCGCCACTAATATATACCATCCATATAAATACATCATCTCAGTGACATCTAAAGGCTGAATTGTATATTGCAACACTGCCAGAACCTTTAATACCTGCTAAACGACTGCTGAAAAGTGCTAAATATTTGCTGAAACCTTACTCGTGCTTTAAAGGAGATTTCAATAAATAATGTACGGAAAGAACTGTGGGAGTCAAGCGTACTGTGTTAATTGCACTTACCTCCATGCTGCCCCTTTCTGAGATACAGTTCTTTCAAAACTCTGAAGGGAACTCATTGGTACTTACGAGTTATGAAAAGTATAGTTTCCATTTTAATGTGTCCAAGAATAAACCATTTTCATTTAAAGGAACCGTGTTAAATGCTTCCTTTAAATGTTGTCTGGCTGTCTTTGGCTCCAATATCTTGTTATTTCATGCACCCCCTGAAGTCAGAACAACTAATTTACATGCTAGCTACAGGTCAGTGAATCAAAGTACTGAAACCAGAGATAGCCAGGCAATCAGGAGATTAACATTGGCAGCCTACATAGTTTTGTCAGTACAAGTTTCCTTCAATCTGCAATGCAGAAAAGGGAATTTTATGCTACAAAGTCATTTTTTTTGTTAGAATTAAAAGTTTCCCGGGACAAACATTCAAAACGCAGGTTGATCTATTGAAATCTAAGAATCTTCCGTTTGCTTGTAACTCATCTATGTATAAAGCTGGTTATACACCTAGATTATTTGCAGATTTTCTATGGTCAGATGGAAAAAGTGCAACAGGTCCCTTCATCTACACTAAACTGTGTGGATGGAGGAATCTTCCACTGAGCCAAGCTTCAGCATCTTGCTAGTCGGCACTGCTGGCTGTCAAAATACGTAAACAATCTGATTGGATGCAGGCATTGTTCAGGTGTTTTGAGAGCCAGCGAGGCCGACTAGCAGGATACTGAAGCTTGGCCCAGTGGGAGATTCCTCCTTCCACACAGTTTGGCGTAGATGGAGGAATCTGTTGCACTTTTTCCATCTGACCATAGAAAATCTGCAGATAATCTCTAGGTGTATGGACAGCTTAAAATAGAAGGCTACTCTCATCTCACCTATAATCCAGTTATCACCTTCACTGCCACCTGCTGGTAAAACCTGGTACTGTGGCACAAACATGAGTCTTTAGGAGAGCTTTGTCTTTTTATGTTCATACTTCAGGCATATAAATACCACAATAGTGTAGCAGGGTAGGTGATGCCACTTCAAATTACAAGGGGATTTTTGAGAAAGGAACTCTCCAAGATTACAACACTATAAAAATCACTTTAAAGAACAAGTTAAACAACACTTCAAATAAGAAGAAAAAAAACACAAGCCCATTAGTCTAAGGGGTTACAAATATTCACTTTATTATAAATAAGAAATACTGATTTATACATAAAAAATGTGTAGTGTTTTGTTGAACCCCTTTCTTCCCTGGACAAAAAAAATTACCACAAATGACCCCCTCCCTTCCCTGTTCTGAACATGTTGTCCATAAAAGTCCAATATTAGACACGGTTAACTAAGAGTGCAGAGGGGCACACTCTCTTGACGCCACGGGGGCGTCTATGGCGGTTTCCAGGGTGTTTCTATGATGGGGAAGGGCCCTCAACTGTGGATCATATAAGCGGAGGTTTAAAAGGTGTCATGAGACCAAGAAGAAACACTGACACAAGTTACGGGGCAATGAGGCTCTTCAGTGATGGGGTGATTTTAGCTTTTTTTTTTGTTTTTAATGTAAACCCACACAAGTGTCTTTGCTCCTAAATGGGTATGTTACATAGTGTTTCTGGGGAGAGAGTCAGGGAGAAGAAATAAAGAACCGGAGGGCTTGTGACAGCTTATAAAGACAACTGTTAGCTATAAATGAACTACCCCTTTCCTCCCTCTGACCTCACCTCCCCGTCCAGGTCAAAAATATATTTACAGAGATAAGAAACAAAATTGACATTCAACTTAGTGTTATAATCTGGATACAAAAAATAAAACACTCACAGGAATCAAGCAAATTCAAAATTATTTATAGCACCAGTGTCATTCAAAAAGGGGTTTCACTCTCTACATTCTCCCCAAATGGGAGTTGATGTGCAGAGTGTCCTTCAGAAGAAAGATTGCTGTATAGAAAGACTGGGTGTAACAGAGCTGTGCTCTCTTGAGCTGTAAGGCTATTGTCACACCAGGGGTCTCACCGCTCGCCATGTCCAGCTTAGATTCCATGCAAGCGAGACAGGACGTGCACTGCTTTTGGACATATAGAGTAAGTAAGCAGGTAATGGCAGGTACTGTATCTACTCACCAGACTACAAGGATATATAAAATGCCTGTGTGACTTAAGGTTAAAAGGTAAATGCGATACAAAAATCAGATGATTCGTCAGCAGTTTCTCAAGAAAAAAAAATGCCCAATATTATACTAGATATCACTTGTGGGAAAGGACAGCTTGGCATAACTATGATGCTGTATTACAATAGTGAAGGTGTCCTTTTCGGCAGAGCTGGACCAAGCCAGAAGCCAAGCAGGCAATGATCCTTGTGCCTAAACTTTGTTCTACTTCTTCTGTCATCTGATTACTTAAAAACATCTATGACCTGCTCTTGAATTGCACATTATGTTGTCCGCCTGCCATTTGGAATAATTTTAGGTATAACAGCGACACATTTTAATAACACTAAAAACTCTTATTGCCATACATTTCATTAAACAATTTAAAAAACTTAATATGTGAAGATTTAAAATAAAATGGTTTCTGTACCCTGTTGCTTTCAGGCATGTTGTCTCTTGACAAAGTTTAAATCACACTGAGGATTGTCCCCATGGTGCAGTAATCAGCACTCACTCTCTTTCCATTTTGCCAGAGTCTACTTTGGATGGTGCCAAGCACACCTAGCAATCTTAGGTAAAGGAAGAGGTAGAGTACTGATAGCCACAGCAAAGAGACAATTGTGAAGGTGTGATTACCGGTTTTAAGAGGCAGCAGTGCGTGAAGCAAGTGAAATATACAGAGATTTGGAGATATATGTTTTGGAGACCTAATATAATTGAGATTGATTGAAAGATATATATTTATCTCTATCAATCAATCACACAAGTCTCAGTCATAGCTGTATGTTGATTTTACCTATTAAAATAAAACTGTCACTTACAGGACCCACTGTAATTTCTTCCCAATCATTTTAGGTCTCATGCACATAGCCACTTGGGGCCACATAACGTTATTCCGGCATATTTCCCTGCCCGAGAGCGAGACTGTCTGCATATAGGGTTGTGTATCCATATAAGTCCCTTAAAAACCTTCATACAGCCAATGATTTCCATGGGGATGTACGCAGGAGCTGAAATACACCCCAATTTACATTATGTGACCCCAGGTGGCTCTGTGCATGAGCTCTTATTTTAATATATTTGGGATTTTGAAAGAGGATTCTGCAGAAACTCTTTTTTTTAGTAAATGTAGCAATGGAAAAAACAGGCATTCTGAATTCTACTGAGCTGACAGTCTACGCCTCACAGAAAAACAGTCAAATGTGCCAGATTTGGCTTAATCTTAGTTCCCATACAGGCCGACTATAAACAGAACTAGTCACTGGATCTATATTCATTACACTTGGCAAAACCTGCAATGGCTGAGTATTTCACCTGAAAGTTATAATACAGAATGAAAGATCAGTTCCTTCCTTTGTTGTGAACAGTGGCCATATTAATAATTATAATAAAATAAGAATCTACTATACTACAGAGTGCAGAAATCTCAAATATATAGCTATGGACTGGATATAAACACCTCCTCTGATACTGCTGACATATAAACTATGGTAAAAGAATATATACATTATGGCATCTAAATAAAAATATTCCAGTGGATCTTCTCAAATTGGCGGGGACAAGAGTACCTATGGCTGCTGGTTAGCTATGGACTTCATTTGGCTTTATAATGGGTAACTCTTGGTAAAATCTTGCTGCTATTATGTATGGTGACCTCTTGCTACCGTGGATTATTTGCTGGTTGACAACAACGTGTGGGAGCTGGGTGCCCTTTAAGGCACAGTTCTGAGATACCATGGCATTTATATGACCTGTCTTAAATGGATGTCCCCAGCTTCTGTGCAGCTAGATTTGTAGCAATGCTTCCAATTGACAATGCATTAAACTAGCTCACTGCAGACAAGGGTATTTTCTGCTAGTCTCCTATTTTGGGGCCCTTCTATACAGCAATGAACAGAAGCCTGTACTCTTATCATTGTCAGGGATAATACTGACTGTGTGGCTAAGCTATAGGGCAGGAGGCCAAGCAGGTTAGTTGAAGGGAATGGAAGGCAAGAGGAGTGTATTGCAAGGAACACGTTGCATCCCAATTTCGGGGCAAAAGGCCCTAATTTTCTACAAGGAGAAAAGCATAGCTTTATTAACCACTCCAGTGCCACAGAGCACTTGCACTGAAGAAACAGCTATTGCTGAAGCGGTTAACCCTTCCTAGAAAGTGTCCCTTGGCTAACACTGCAAAGCCACCTTGTGTAGTGGCCCAGTGGTCTTATGTTGTATAGAGGCGTGGCAATGGCTCGTTCTCTCATAGATATACATCTCTCAGGAGGAGGAAGAGGATCAAGCCCAGACAGATGCCTCTGGTAGATGTGGTACGCTAGGCAGTTCAGGTGAAGTAATATATGTCCAATTATGGCCCCCATATAGTTCAATATTTTGGAGGGCGCGGTGTGAATGGTGTTTAGGGCAGACAGTCTGGGGTTGGTGAGTAATAAGGCACTTCACAGCCAAAACATGGAGGTTGGTGAGGAAGGAAGTTTGGCTAAGCTCCTCCCTTTCTTCCCAGAGTCTTTAGGGCTTTTCAATGATAGGAGTGTTATAGCAGCCAGGAGGCAGTGTGTTTTTAATGTCCTCAAGGTTATCGATGTCTTTAATGATCTGGTCAATATCTTGCTGGTAGGAAAGTAGTGCTGCGTCCTGCAGCCGTGCTGACTGCTCCAGCTGTCCCACCTTGCGGTCTAGATCGCTGTCACGGAGCTGGGACTTCGCATCCTCCAATGTCCTTTCCAGCTCATTGAGCTTTGATACATCCACAGAGTCCAGCTTACCTATTATTCAAAGAAAAAAAATCAATTTTCTAATCGCTAAAATGGAATGTTACCAGTTTTTGTTCAAAGATTTGGAGGATATTCCTGCTATGCTGTCAGAGCATATGACCTGCCAGAACTTTGCGGTTAGCTGCATCTGGTTCTTTCAGCAGACTTCCCAGAAATCCCACCGCTATGGCACAGATGACACTGAAGCACAAATAAGCATGCTCCTATTTATAAAGGTGTGCTTCTCCCTATACATACCAAACGTGTACATACATACAGACAAAAACACACACGCATGTAACTTTCAGATAATTGGTTACCAAGTTGGTTGAGAAGATCATTGATTGTTGTGAGTACATTGTTGACTGACTGTTTTGCTTTCCTGGCATTTTGTTCAGCTTCTTCTGCTGCGTCAGTGGCCTGGAGGAAAGTAGAGGCCATTATACACCAGTGTCGGTCAATACAATTTGCACCATTTCCCATTTAGCTTAAGAGAGCTTACCATATTGGCCATCATCATGTCACTGTCTGCTTCAGACTGCTTCTTCTTCAGCTGGTTCTCAGCATCTTGCAGCTGACGCAACATGTCCTGCAGCTCTCCGTCCAAATCTGTCACATCCTTGTAAGTTTTGTCAGCATCCGCTTTGGCTGCAGCAGCATTCTGCGGATTACAGGGGGGTCAAAGAAAGACAAGGGAATTAAATAAAAACCCCCCAAAAAAGAAAATGATGTATGTGATGCTACAATTAAAATGACATTTCCTAAGGGAAATCGTGAAGTCTGTTGCTGCTGATCATCTTCTGAAAAGGTAGTTGCTTGGCTATTAAATTGCCCTCTGTCTCCAGTACTTACTGAGTGTCACTTACCTGGAACAAGTATGCAAATCAAGAAAGTCCAAACTTCTCATCTGCATACTTGTTCTGGGGTGGGGGTTGACTCAAGGCATTGAAGCAAGGGAGTCTGTTTGACCGCCATGAAACTTGCATTTGCAGAGGAAATGTCAGCAATGGCAGCCTCCATTTTTTTCCTGAAAGGTTTTCTTTAAGTAACCTGCCTGTTAATTACCTGGAAGACTTATACATTATATACAACTTTGTTAATATAATGCAGAGATAAACATAATACAGAGAGAGTGTATTGGGGAGAATGTTGAAGATTCGGCTCTATAAACGGCATTTTCCAGACTACCCCATTCTGTACACTGTGCAGTACGCTACCAACTCCATTTGCTCAACTACGAATGCTCTACTCTGTTATATACTCCATACTGCTAATCATCCTCACAATATTGTCCTATATAAGACAGAAGGGAATTGCATCACTGGGACTTGCGAACTCCAAACCGTTCAATAAGTGAATGCATTTTGGCTAGTACATGCAAATAGAAAATATCTGCAAGAACATAAAACAGTCTTGATATTAGCTTCCTGTGATCTCCTGTGTAGTGTATGACACGGGTAACTAAGCCATGAATCACAACACTTTGCTAGACACTTAAACCTGGTCACCTAACTGTCATGTGTTTCCTCAATGGTTTGTGCAGCCTGTTTAGAACAGAACCTTTGCAAAACACAGTAGAGCCTTCGGAATACAGTACAATGTCTGCAGGTCTATTTCTATCACAAATCCTAAAAAAATGGTTTATTCATGTTGGGAAGCTGGACTCAAATGGTTTAAAATGACTGGATGCATCATACATTGGGCATTCAGACGTCTTCCTTCTTGCACTTGTTCTGTTTCAGCAGGGTGCATAATACCCCTGTAAGTCAGCTGTTTTAGGGGCACTGCTAAAGGCTACACTCTACCTTTCACACCATGACTCATCCAATATACTGCTCCATGGTGAAAACAACTACTGAGATCTGTCATCTATGACTAACATGCATAGATCAGAGCCAGATCCCTCAGCATGGAAATAGCCAGGGATATTTCTATTTCTGTTCACACTGTATATAGTAAGATTTTTATGGATGTCCCGAGGTGACCTTACAAGCATTAGATCTCAATGTCCTCAGCTTACTAGATTTTATGGTAGGGGTGTGGGAATTGCAAAAGTACCAGATTACAAATATTGGAGTGATACATTTATCAGTATTATATTATTATGAGATTACATCTTAACGCAAACACATGCATTGCTCCTTCAGGTAATGTACTAGGTTTGCTTAAATCCCCCACCTCTCCCCAGCATATACTTATATTTTTTTAGTTCCCCTACCACTCCAGGAGCTGAAGAAAATACCCAGGACGTCCGTTATGGAGGACCATGTGATGAATTCCATGTGTCAGGTAGGCAAAAGGAGGTTCGGTTTATGCTGTTGGGGAGGGCCAAATTAAAAGTGAACCTGCTGCTTTGCCATACGGGTACAAAACACAGGTTCTCTTTATACAGCCACTCCAAGCATCAAGTAAAATCAATCAGTGGATTACTATTGCTATCCAGTAAGCATTGCCACTGCATCAAGTAGGAGTCTACTGAATCTACTTTTAATATGAGTTACAAGACCCACCTGCAACCAGGCTGGGGAGCCTCGTCACACTAGATCTAGGAGCGACCACCTCTTTTCATACGACACGGTTTTTTGTAACCTCTCCCTCTCTGTAAAGTACACAGGGCAGTGATCTGAACCTGGAGCACTTTTCAGAAGTTTACAATATAGGGCCATTTAGAAAAGAATACTGCCAACTACCTTAAAGTGCAGGGCAACCTCACCCAGCCTGGACTCTTACTAATGTGCATTTATACTGCAGATAGCATAACTGACTTGTTTTCATGAAGGCTCTGCCTGTAAGCTTACAATTAGATGTGCGGTTTTTCTGCTTTGACTGAAAAGAACAGAAAACAGATCCTAAGCTGATAATAACTAGACGGGAGTGCTTGACATTTCTAAGAAATGCTCAGCAGACCAGATGTGTGCAACGTCAGGAGAACAGGTGCTTTCATCTCAGACAACATGCAGAAAACACAGTGGAAGGCAATATGGAACACAGACACCCTAATACAGGTACCCTCTATTTATCAAGTACTCCTTCACTATGTGATTATATATAACTTCCCATTAAACGGTTTTCCACCTGCAGAAAAAACGTATTTACATTCTTGTAAATCTAACCACCTCCAAATAATGAAAAGTCAACCAGAGACAACACATATGAAAAGGTAGCCACAGACATGAGATAAGCATAGGGTAATTATGTCATCAGGTAATAGACAAATCCCTGACTGATCTTTAAGGGCGATCTTATGATCAGCTGGGTTGGATTTTCTGTTTCCTAAAAGATAAGGTATAGCCACCGGGGATGTCTGGGCACTTATCTTCCATAGACATTTAAAATGCACATCCGGGCAAAGAGTGTGCTTATTAAATTGGAAAACATTCGAAGACTGGGCCATCTGACCGTCATCCAATGTCTATGGCAAGAACCTTGATTACATAAAATCAGTACTTATCTATAAACGGTATCCGAGTTCAACTAAGTATTATTGCACAAGAATTTTATTCTTGAGCTCTCACATCTGGCATTCCTAAAAAAAGAAGAGGATGATCTCCTTCCTGCTTTCAGACCTTCTTGCTAGAACGTCTTGTGACAATTCAGACACACAAAGGTTTCATCCAGTCAGTAGAGGTTGCCAGCATCAAATGGTCATCTGTCCGCACTGGAAGGTCTTGCCAGTCCAGCATCCTCTAAGATTGTTTACATGTGTGGTTTCTTTTGGTTTTCCACAGAATCCCAGTGAAGGTAGATGGCAGAAGTCGTGCAAAACAAACCAGAGTGCATGCAGTGCAATATGCTATTTTTAAAGACCGTCTGTGGAACAGTTTGACTCAGCTGTAATGAAGTAGAAGCAACAAGATTCCTACCTTCTGGACAGCATTTCCAATCTTCTCGGCCTCCTCTGCTTTGCTCTTCGCTCCTCTGGCATCAGCATTGGCATTGCCTAGTGCGCTTTCAGCTTGGCGAGTCTTATTATTGGCTTCAGTGATGATCTGGTTGATGGCAGGGATCCTCCGCAAAGCTGCTTCGGCTGCTGTTTTATTGTCATTCACTCTCTTGTCAAAGTCTGAGTTGGAGGGGAAGCAAATGGACATATGAAATGACACAGAATAAAGACCAGGAGCAGCATTTCCTTGTCTGACTGATTCCAGAGGAAATATACTGTATATACAAGCTATATCAAAATATTTCCTAACCTCTCAAATTGTTTAGTATGTCGTTGGCCTCTTGCAGTGTGGTGCGGCCCTTCTTTGCTGCCTCCTCAGCCTGGGCTTTAGCAGCATCTGCTCGAGCAAGTAGCTGATCAGCGGTCTAAAAAGACATGGAACAGACATGTTACAGACCATCCTGAGCACAACTGGTCAAAACAAATGGAAAACTCAGTGCAGGAAAAACATCTGCTCAACATAGGGGGAAGCAGTCCTTTGTTATGACAGATCAAGAAAAAAATTATTTCAAACCATCATAACCCATAAGCCTTAAATTGGAGCTATATTTCTAATGCGAAAATTTGCTGGCAGGTAGACTTTTATTGCAGAAGAGACTCTGTATGTCTCTTCTGCAATAAAGCTCCTCTTCTGCCTGCCAGCTCCTCTATTCCTAAATATTTAACTTTCCTGGAGAAAATGCTGCTCTCCGCTCTCTCTCTCTAATGCTGCTCATATGAACTCCTAGGCATTTGGTCACACAATCTCTAGTTAAGGGAAGGTTCATGGCTCAGACTAGCCAATCCATACCTTTAGAAAAGGCTATGTGTCCAAAGGTATAGGCTTTGGGTCATGCAACCAGCAGAAGAGTTTGGAGCAGTATTTTCTGTAAATATTTATGTAATTCTTGTACCATTTATACATTCTATTAAGATTATTTACATAGGTCTTAGTTAACATTTTAGTATGCATTCACTTTAAGCCTGCTGGGCTCCAGGGCAGAAAATGGCCCAGTCTCCAGTATTACCACTCAGTGGTGTAACAATCGCCATAGCGACCCTGGCGGCCGCTATGGGGCCTGGGGCACAGGGAGACCAGGCTAGGACATCACCTTGATGCCGTGCGGGCCGCCTGGGTTGCTATGGCATCTCAGGCTGCTGGCTGTCACTGGCGGCTGTGAGGAGGAATGCGCCGCTGTTCAGCCAGCAGCGGTGGAGGAGGGGCCCGCCAGCAACCATGGGGGAGGAGGGGGGGAGGCGGACAGGTAAGAAGTGTGACCAGCCCACCTGAGACCCTGCAGAGCCACCCATACAGTGTCTATGGTGGGCTCTGCAGGGTCACTCAGGTGGGCAGTGTGGGATCTCAGGTGGACTCTGCAAGGGGTGTAACTAGAAATCACAGGGCCCCATACAAAATGACTAACAATACTGTTGAGAACCCATGGTTTGCAGACACTGGAGAGATTGGAAGGCTTGGTGGGACTAAGCTGGGATGGACATCGGGCGAGGGGACCAAGGTCCCCTGATAATCCTCAAGTCCCTGTAACCATCCCAGTTATCCTAGAACGTCCCAATCCTACTACACACGTCCCTCTTTCTTGCTCTACCATCTCTCCTTCTTGCCTGTCACCAATCACAGTCTATGAGATGGAAAGTGAACACCCTTAACATGACATAGCTATGTGCAATGGTGTAATGTTTTATTTGCCTATGTTCTCAGTGGGGAAATCCCTCTTTGTAACGTTGCTGTTCAGAAACAAAACTATTCAAGAATGGGACTAAAAAACCAAGACATAATTATGTTTCTGTTAATATTATGAAAAGTATACGCCAGACACAGACACCCAGACCCTTATGTGCAGTAGTGGTTGCTACCTGCTTCATACAGAGCAACTTCTATTGCATTCCTTTCACAACACCATTACCTTTTGGGAGTGGTCCTTTAAACACTCTAAATACGTTTAGATCAAGTGTTTGAACTTACATGTAAGGTGGGAAAAAGGACATTCTGGCTTACACTCTGACATAGCACACAGTGTTGTATAGATGGAAAAGCCTCAAGACATATCATGTGTCAAGATTCAAAGCAGGTGGAGATATTTTTCTCTATTTTCTAGGCAACGCCTAGTAAAGAAGACTTGTGTGGAATATTTCGGGCCTTGGTTGGCAATAATGAATATCTAAGCATCAGTATAAATTTACAAATGAGAACGCCTTTATAAAAGTATAAATTAAGGTGCTAAAAGCAGACTTTAATGCTAACTGGGTGACACTGAGATTGCCAAAGTTATGTAGATCATAAACAACCGACATGATTTTTTTCCCCATAAAATATATTTTTTATCCTTTTTTAGTATCTCGGTGCTGCTGATCTCCAGTCTATGTGCTCGCACGCTAGCGGTGGATGCATATCCGTGTTCTGGACGGGCTTCCTGATAATGACAATGGTAGACTATGTCCAAGCAGAATAACCGCTTGTAAGCCTGCATCAGGGTCTATGTGGTAAGATGACTACACAAGAGCGCAACTGGAATACAGTTGTCTAGTGGGCCAATAGCGCCATAATGCTAGTGTAGAGATCCACTTTAATGATGGGGGATGGGGGGAATCAAACATGCTACACCTTTCTCTGATATGCGCTGCTAAATTAAATTAAAAAATGTTTTTTGGGGGTTAATAAGAATTTGGAGTGTGTGTATGTCACATGGCATGGAACCCAGAAAAGAAACTGGAAATGGACCCACCTGCTGTTCACTTTTGCCTTTGTCAAGCAAACGTTTGACTTCTGCCTCCCGACCCCTCATGTCATCGCGCAAATCTTCATAATCTTTTTGTTTCCTGTCAATCAGCATATCCAATTCTTCAGCCTCCTTCTGAATTTTTCCAGCCTCATTCTAAAAAGTAGAAAAAACAAAAAGGACATATGCATAGTTATTCAATACACAGCTTTTACATCCACATACGACTAAACTGCAAACAAATACATGTACTGTAAGAATAGAATTGGTATTTGGGAGCAGGATGTCTAAAAGAGATTTCCCACCTTCAGCCTTCATGAGGTAGTCCACCTCCACTAGGAGGCTGATTATGATTGCTGGGGGTCACTGATTGTTCTTCAGGAGGGGCATGTTCCACCTTTTGCAGCACAACACCAGTGCCAGAACCTCACTGTTTTCTGAGAATGGCGCTGTGCCAAACATCTACAATCCTACTGGCTGTTACATACATAGTTACATAGTATTTGAGGTTGAATAAAGACATAAGTCCATCAAGTCCAACCTATTGTGTGTGTGTGTGTTTTCAATATTTCAGTAGACAACTGATTAACGTACATCAGAGTGGAACAACCCCTGTCAGTTATCTCTGCGCCACCCAGCATAGTTAAAGGTTGAAAGAAGGACATCTCCATGTACCTGGCACATTTTCTAACCATTAGCAATGTGTTATTTTAAATATCCAGGTCAATGGAGTAATCAAATGTGTTTATCTGTGTTTTTTATTGATCTTGACCCCTCTACTTGTGCGGCCTCTTCATATAACCTGTGCCGCAAGCCCCTGTGTATAAACTGCGGACCTATGACACTCAAGAGTCTATGTGAACACTACACACATGCCTGCAGACCGCAGTATGTAGGGTGCCTCTATGAAACCAATACTTCACTAAGAGCTCATAGATACATTTTTAGATTTTCTTGCCGTTATTGACATGTATGTGGGCTGTGAAACCTGCACATCTGATCTTATTTTTGCAAATTCCTGAGAAAGTAGACATAATGACTGCATGCACTTTCCTCTATATATTCTTCTCTACAGATCAAAGGATTGTAGGGTAGATTATGAATTAAACCTTTGCTGGATCTGGATAACATCTGCCCATCTGGCTGTGGATCACATGGACCTCCTGTAGGAGACTCAATAGCTGCAATTTTCCAGATTACAACTCAGAGGGTAATCATTAATTCATTAACTTCACTCTAAGTATTCATTCACCTTTGGAAAGGCAACATTACAAAACCTATTTGTGTGCATTCCCACAGCACCTGTCCAAGATTCAGTATTCATTAACCCACTGCTATATATATTTTCCACCATTAACCCTTATTTATCATCAAAATGTTTGCAAGCACAGAGGCACATAGCAAGCCAGCTGCAAAGCATTCAATGCATGTGGTACAAAATACTGTAATACTAAAGAATTCCAAGAGCTAGCAGTAACCCTGCACAGCAGAACTTAAACAAGACTTATTACAAGAGAAATACAGGTGCTATAATGATGATAATGCTCTAGTGATGATAGTTCTCTGGTTGCCGCACCGCTCCATTGGCTTCAATGATATTTGAACCACTCTCCCAAAAACAAGGCTGCAAATTAGGAGCTCCGATTTCACCACCACATTTCTTCTGGGTCAGCAACTCAGAAAATAAAGACAGCAGTTTTAGGACCGCAACTAGCATTTTAAGGAGGTTAGTAATGGTATTCCCCCTGGATTTCTCTAATGACAGGTCTTCATGTAGGCGTGTCCCCTGACAAGTGTGTGCAAATAATACTGAAAACTGAAGACAGAGCTCCCAACAAATTGGAAGTTGGGTATTTCTTTCTTCCTAACTGCCTAGGCAATCAGATTCTGTTTTGATTCAAAGTTGGAAAAAAAAGTAATGCCAATTTACCAACCATAATCTTATGTATCCTGTGTAGGTCTAAGCAGAAAAAGTGCTTCACACACTATATGGTGCTGGGACAATATGCTATACTCATGTAACAGCTAATACACAGATAGGCTATTTCTCCAAGGTGGCATTTACCTGCAATGCTGTGGTATCAATTGTAGGAATGCTGCTGAGGTTGGCATAGATCTGCAGTGCCCGATTCCCTGCTTCTTCAGCCTCTGCATGCACTTTGGTGGCCTGTTTCTCCAATTCTCGGGCCAGATCCTTAGCCTGATTGTACCTGATGAGTACAGGAAAGAATGTTTTACATCTTTAGAGGGGTTTCCCGAATACAGCAGCACTGTCCTAAAAACATTGCAGAAGCAGTACAGGGCCCCCATTGTACATAACAGGTTATAGATGGTAGCACTCACTTCTTATTCAGTTCTTCAATATCAGCTGCGGTCTGGTTCTCTGCAGCCAAAGTCTTTAGTAACAGGCGATAGGCTTCATTTGCTGTATCATTGGCTTCCTTAGCGGCCTTCTCAATCTCCCGTGCTTCCTGTGTGTGCCTGGAAATCACCAAACCAGAGTTAAGAGGAGAAACACCTTCTGAACAGTGTATGTGAAAATTGCTGAGCAAAGTTGCTTCCAGCTTGCCTATAACCTACTTATGACTTATGTACATAAAGCTAGGAAGGCCCATTTAGGCAAGACATATAAGCCTTAGTAAAGGAACAAGATTAGGTTTATGACTGCACGCACTTCAGACGTCTCTCACCTTTCAGCCAGTCTCCTAGCTTCCTCGGCCAGCAGCGTCATATTATTAGGATCACCTGTTGTCTCTGGTGGAGTGATGGACTAAAAACAAAAAATGCTTTAAGAATATGAAAAGTAATGCTTTATACAAGAAGTAGCATGACATTCCAAGCGGATCACAGCTTACAGCATTCCTGGTTTTTATGAGAACTCTATGTAAATTTCTAAATAAGAACAGAAAAAAGCAGAAAGATTCTATTAAAAATATATACTAGTCACAACTGCATTTTATCTTGATAGATCAAGTCCTTGGAAAGGTTAAAAAGGACATAAAAATGGATCAACAGGAAAACACCAATTAAGGCATAAAAAAGACAAAACCTTATTTTAGGTTAGCCTAACAGAATCTTAGCATGGCAAATAGTCTAGACCCTGATACAAGATGCAGCCAAGCTGTGGATTCATGTAGATTGCTTGCAGCTTCAGAAAGGTCTCCTCTGATTCTTACCACATTAGCAATGGCCACCCTGGCTTTCTCCAGCTGCTTCCTTGCAGAATCAATGATGACCTCTGTGCTCTCCACACGATCTCTGGCTTCCTGTGCCTGTTTGTCAGTGTCCCGGATCATATCTCTGATGTTTTGCAGGCGTCCCAGCTGAGAGTTTAGTGTAGCGTTTATCTCTGCCAGGCGGTCCAGCATTCCCTGATCCACATCTAAGAAGAAACATCCTCATGTTAATGAGTATTATTGGAAGCGGCAGGGGTTAGCATTATGGAAAATGACAAATGTGATGTGTTACTGTACTTTTGCTTCCTTGGGCATCAATAAGGAGGTCGCTGACTGCCTTTTCAGCCTCTCTAAGCCGCTCCTCAAAGCCTTGATCAGTGACTGTTTCATCTCCAGTTCCCAGGTTCTTCAGGAGATCCTCCAGTTCCTGTAGTTTCTCTCTCTGTTCCATCACCTAATGAACCACAAAAAGGAAGATCAATATCTGATTGCACTTGCCAACACCCCAGTCACCTAAGTTTTTTTTTTAAGCTGAACTCCAGGCAAATTGCTAAATACACAGCTCAAATAAATACTTAGAAGCTGTTGTACCTGTCAAATGTATTTCTGTTCATCCACCCCTGAAATCTACACATCCCTTGTGGACAGCAGAAGTAAATACAGAGATGCAAGCTCCATGTCTACCAAACTGTGAAGGAGCAGCAGCAGAATGAGGAGATCATTCCACTGCTCTGCAACGCTTTAGACTTCAGCTACTGCTTCTTTTCGCAGACGGAATGTGGGTATGATGCAAAGTTCAGGGTTTACTATAGTTCAAAATTCTAATGACACGTTAGTGAGCAGTCACCAGGTAGTTCATTTACCGGGATCTAAATAGGACATTTGCCCAGGTTTTTAAATAAACCCGTCATGCAAGAATTACAGGGGCTAACACTGCTAACCTGCTTTTTGAAATGCGAATTGCTTCGCTGTTGTACCAAACCATTGCTTTATATATCACTGACCCGGAACAAATACACAGATCAGGCAAGTCCAAAATCCTACAGAATACGGATCATCATGCAGAAGCGCCTAGGGGTATTCAGTAAAAGGCCAGGAACAAATGTGACATGTGGTGCTGCAGTAAAATATCCCAAGTCAGGATGGTACAGATAGTTGAATCACCTCACCTTGTCTTTAACCAAGCGGTAGCAGGCAGGACACTCTTGACAGCCAGGACCTGAGCGATTGTAGAAGTAATTCTCCTCGCACTGGTCACAGCGGACTCCTACAAAACCATCCTTGCACTCGCAACGCCCATCCTCTTTACATTGTAGTGAAAGCGAGCCCTCTGGATCACAGTCACACGCTGTGCAACAAAAGTAAACAAGATACCCTTTATTACTTTGCAAAAAAAAAAAAAGCAACAAGTAATATCACAAGTATTTGGGTTTGGTTACAACACACTTACGTTTGCACCCTTCTGGTCCAAAGCCAAAGTGGTTGGGTTCGCATTGCTGACAGCGTTGCCCACTGATGCCAGGCTGGCACTCACACTGCCCGGTACGAATGTCACACTGGCCATTTGTAGATCCCAGGGGATGGCAATCGCATCTATAAATAAAAACATATAACTGCCTTAAAACAAATGACTCTCTGCAATAATGACTGTTAAGAACAGCCCATGTGACCTAGGATGGAGGCTGGGGAACAGCAGTAATTTTATTAACAGCAAGCGAGAGTTAGTTTTTTTTTTTTACTTGGAATAATATTAATGTCATTTGGTAATTCCAACCTGTAGCCTACTGATTTACAGCCAAAGAATGACAGGTCCACTTTTAAGCGCCTGCTGGTTCTCAACATTGACTTTTGATTTTATGATTTTATAGAAGCATATTGCTATATTTTAAAAAATACCATTTAAAAGGAGAACTATGGGGTCAGTGTTTTTCCCCATAGTACTCCTTAGGGTAACGGGAGGACACAAACTAGTGTCCTCCCGTTACCCTAAGCTCAGTATACCGCGAGCTACAGCTCGCGGTATACTGAGACGCCGGAGCGGATCCCGACGTAGATGACGGGATCCGCCCAGCTGCGTGAGTGACAGCTGGCTCTGCCTATCTAGAGGCAGAGCCAGCTGTACCCGCCCCTCCCCCGTCCGTTCCGCCAGTCAGCGCTGGCAGATCGGAGCGGGGAGAGGGGAATCCAGCCCCTCCCCCTGTCACGGCAGAGAGCCGTGACAGGATCGAGAGGTGAGCGAACCCGGTATGTGTTCGCTCACCTCCCGATCTACTGAGCCGACCTGTGACAGTCTCATTGTCACAGGTCGGCTAGAACTATGAGGTGAGTGAAAAGCAAAGCACTCACCTCATAGTTCTCCTTTAAATCCATTTTGTATTTGCTCTGTTTTTAGCTAAGAAGTTAATAATGAAATACCTAACGGCAATCCAAATAGTGTGGGAGCACAGGAATATAACTACCTCTATACAAATTAGGACATTACAGTCAAAGCTGTTTTTTCCTCTACTATAACAAAATGAATCTAATAAAAAAAAAAGACTTTACTGTATATAAATGGATCTAGTAAGCCAAATGCAGAATATTATGAATGATCTTAAGCAGTTAGTATAACTGTTTGCTCAAAGAAATAGAGTGGCCACTCACACGTCAATTACTGACAAAGACTGATGCATGAACCATAGTAACTAGTGTGTTTATAGGTTATTCATGAATATCCTCTCCACTTGTTACCTATGTTACATATTATTCTGTTAGAATGGTAAGACTGAGCAATTTTCATAAGTTTTCCCATGACAGCCCCTGCATGCCCAAACAACTTGGAAACACAGAAGGGGTATCAAGTATGTCTGCCCAATTGAGTCAGTTAGGGTAGCCTGATCTTAAGTGCATACAAACAGCTAAAGATTTTACGAGACATCAATCATTACAAAATGGAAAAGCATTGCAGAGCACTCACTTCTCACAGCCAAGACCGCTCTGGAGGTTGTAGTATCCGGGCTCACAAGCTGAACAGTCTCTCTCCGTTACATATGGGAGGCACTCACACTGGCCAGTCACCTGGTTACATGTACTCTGGCTCTTTACTGTGCCAAACGAGTTACAGCTGCAGGCTGCAAAGAAAGGATTAGGGATCCATGATATGTAGAGAAAAATGCACTGCTCAAACCGAATATTCAAACTCAAAAAGAATAATTAAAATAAAAAAATACTAATATAGGAAATGCTCAGATTTAATTTTCAGTAAAGTACTCTGCTTTGTTTCTTTTGCAATGCAACAACTGGTGTACTTCCTTTTCAATTTACTGGTTGCCAGCAACACCAGCACTGGCTCTTTATATGCAGATCATTTCATTACTAATATACTCATATTGCAGTAACCATCAACTACCATGTTCCATGATACCAATTTTATCAACAAAAGCTGCAAGGAAGCAGAGACAAAAAAGCAGAGCAGAGTTCTTGCCTTTACAAACAAAAGTTACAGACAAGTCTGTAGCTAATATTCAGAACAGCTATACCACACACAATGTATGAAATTTATTTTGCTATCCAATAAGATTAAGGCAACATGTTATACATATTTATCAGCATGCCCATTTTAAGACAAACTTTTTTGATTGTTTTAGAGCTGTTGAACTCTATTGCTGTCCATGACCCCAGAAAGAGATTGTCCTACTGTGATTATCAGAGCTCTGTTGAACACCGAATTTAATTGCATTCTTTATATATTCCTCCAGATTTTCCTTGGAAATAGAAGGATGAGGCATTCAAGAGTCAAGAATCAAGAATCAGGAAGTTCAATTTACAGCAGAGTCTTGACTATAAAATAACTGCATTTAGGAGGGGTGGCTTGACCCTGGTAGAGTCATTGACAACAATTACTTTTTCATAACCCAAAACAGTAGTCTTACCTTTGCATTTCTGGTCTGGGGTCGGTCCTAATGGGTTGCCATAGAATCCATCCCTGCAGCGATCACAGTAGAATCCAGCCGTGTTGTATATACATTTCAGACACTCCCCAGTCAAGCGATCGCAGTTCCCCACCGCGTTTGGATCAATATTAGTGTTACAGTCACAGGCACGGCAAGGTCGGGGTGCTCCATTCTGGCCCAGTGGGTCCCCAAAATACCCATCGTCACAAAGCTCACACCTTTTACCTGTGGGGAGTAAAACGGTGAAATTAAAATTAGGTAAAATATAGATTTATGACCTGATCCCAAAACTTGCATTATACACCAAAAATCAAATACATGTATTGTGAAAGTGCATCAATTGACCAGCAGTGACCTGAGTATTGGAGCATTGCGTCATTTCTGCATCAAAGGATTTCCAGAGAAACCAATTTCCTGTATTTCACAGTATATAGAAGACCAGAAATTATAGGCTACATCCAAACATAAAAAGTGGTGAAAGAGCCACACTACTGTGGACTGACTATAATGATTGTTTACACACACACACACGCACACACACAATACTGCATTAGTTTAGACAATACAGCATTTCAGAACTGTAACCCTTATGAGAAGCTTCCCCAAACATCATCACAAGTAACCTATAGCAACATATGGGTCCCATGCAACTGGCTATGGACTACTGATGTATATTAAACAATTATTAATATTGAATAGTGAACATTCACAAACATGAGGTTTGGAAGTACTTAAAATAAGCCTGTACTATTGGAATGATAGAGGCTGGCATTGCTGGAGCTCATTCTGAAAAAGTTCATTGAAATGCATGATTGCAAGTATCATAAATACTTTGGCAGAAAGTACTAACTCATCTGACCAACATGACAGCTGGGCACCTTACATTTTCAGAAGGGTCTTGCCAATTACTACCTGCGCAATGCACTTATCTTGGGTTTCCTTTAAAAGTACTTATCAAGAAAAAAAAAATGATATTATGAGTAGACTTTATATTTTACCAAAGAATCATATCTGGCTATTTGTAATGTCTGAGCAAACTATCTACTAACTTATTGATTAACTTTTTTCTTCTTCTATGATTGCAGGAAATGTTAAATATTGATCAAATACACTAGGTTATTGAAATATATTGTGATTGAATGGTAAATCCTACTCACCTGTTGTTCCCAATGGACAGTTGGTGCAGACTACTTCCTTGGTGCGGGGTACAACCGCACAGCTGGATCCTCCAGGGCAGGGACATGACTGACAGTCAGAACTGGATCCGACAGTACTGTCTCCATAGAAACCTTCAATGCACTTCTCGCAGTGAGAACCTGCTGTATGGTGCTGGCAGTTACACACACCTGTTGTGGGATAAAGAGAACATGCCAAAATTAGTGTAAATGGGAACACACAAACAAATAGTGGGGAGGGGGGTCTCAAATTTGATTGCAAATGGGCTATGCCAAGTTCACACCATGGTGGACTGTAAGTATGAACACAAAGCATGACAAGGTACTTCATCATTGTGGAATATTGTGGCCCTGGAATCACACTAGCCATTAAACAAGAACTCCAGGCATGTACAGAATTAACCCTTGCAGTGGGGCTACCCTCACGCAGCAAGAGTTAAGTGCTTCTTTTGGTCTAGGGTCAAAAATAAAAAATGTCACACTCACCTGATCCCCAGTCCCGCGGCAGTGACCACTCACCTTTCTCCCACTCTGCTCCAGTTGTGGAGCAGTTTATGGACATGATGAT